CTTGGCAACCTGCAAAAATAAGATACCCAAAACATTTCCTGGGAAGTTCAAAGAGACTACTTTTGCTGAACATTTGTATGCCAAACCAGCAAAAAATGAATGCAGAATAGCTGCATACCACAGTCTGTCTTTCAAAGACTTTGTAAAGGCAAACCTTTTTTTCTTTTAAGCTTGAAAACTTTAACTTGAAAAATACAAAAGCATGTTTGTGCCATTTTATCATTAAATTGGTTTGTTTTATTTTTTATTATTTTATTTTTATTTTTATTGTTTTGCACATGAACGTTGCCAAATATATTTCTGAAGAGTTTAATCAGGTGCTTCATGTTTTGCAAAAACAGGGTTCTTTAGACTAGAGCTACAAAAATGCTGTATTGGGGTTCCAAAGAGCCTGCCAGAATCACTTCTGGCACTCACCCCCAGGTTGGGTAGGGTCAGTATTCTGGCCCCCCTTTCCTCCCATTTTTGAGAGCATTAAGGGATAAAATGTATTCACTAATTCTATTTTAGCCCTTAGAACACCTGAAGCCCTCTCCAAAAAATCAGGAATGGCAAATGACCCTCAGTGGCAACACAAAACCTGGTGTGGCTCTTGCAATGTCAAAACTTGTATGCCCCCGTTTTAGGCTATACAACAGGGGTTGAATGTAATATCACTGAAATACAGAGATTTGCGTATTCCAAGGTAGTGCTTGACTTACAGCTCGCAGAGGCCTATTTATGAAATGGGGCCCTCCACATAGCTCATTGGTTCTTTCTTCCACAGAAAACAATGCCTGAGCTAGACCAGGATAGTTCATAAGACTGGCAGAGACCACTGAGAATTGTAACCTCTGCACAATTGGCACCCCTGGAAAAGTTGAAGAGTGCAATGTCCTGTTTTCTATCAGGACGCATGTTTTGAGTTCATCAGTGGAGAGTTACAGCCAGTATCTTCTTTGTCAACGAAGATGTCATATCTCAAACTTACGAGTGCAGTAACTGTTTCTAACAGACCCATGAATGAGAAATCCCATAACCTACATCAGACATCAGATGAAAGTCTTCAAGGTGCAGTCAATGCAAAAGCTTCAAAATTACACAGTTATGACTGACTGTCAATGGATGACAACCAACCACACATTCTTTCTGACTCTGCAAAAGCAGAAAAGAATATTCCCTTGAAATACATTTCAAGCAGCTCCAGAGATCATTAGACGCGGACTGATTTCAGACAGGAAGTCAGCTAATAGAAAGCACTGTCACCCTCTGGGTCCTATGAAGGGCTTCCAGAATATTGCTGTATTAAGTACTTGTGGCAAAGATTGCAGACACGCTCTGGGTTGATGCTAGACGGAAGAGGCAGTTCATTCGCTGAACAATCCTCACAGAAAATGCCTCCACAGTTCTTGCAGATGTTCTGAACAGGGAAGAAATAACAATCAGAGTTACTGAGAATTCTAATTCACTCAACTGCAATACATAATGTGAAGTAAGGAGAAAAAAGGGTCAATTCTTAGCAACTAAATGGTTTGACCAGGGTTTATTTAATTATTTCTCTCTAATATCTTGGGAGACCAAAGGCTGGAAACTGAAACTAGAATGATTGGGGAAGAGGGGTGGTGATACAAATTGCTCAAGGCTTGGATTTGTTTTAGTTAATAAGCTGTTCTATTGCTAAGATTCAGGTCAGTTAGCAAATCCCTCTCCACCTTCGTGCAAGACATAATGAGAATTCCACTCATCAAGCAACAGTAAAAAAGTACAGATCAGCTATCTCTATCAAATGTAATGTAATGCTAGGATGCAGCATAAAAACAGGATCAGAAAATGGTCGCCCAGGTTAAGAGATGGGCTGAGTTACCTTTCGTTTGCTCTGAGTACTTTCTTCTTGACACAGTTGGCACAGTGTGGACTTTTCAGGAACTTGTTCCTAAATCATTGAAAATACACTCTCATTTATGCATATTTTTGGTCAACCCTT